TCTGAACCCCGATGCTTCGTGCCCTGAGTGGCAACTTTCAGAAAGGCCTTCTGTGCCAGTGAGACATGGGTTCAGTCCACGTGGACGGGGTGTGCACTTGTTGGGTTTGGGGTTTTAGCCAGCGGTACAGGCTGCCCCAGGGATGCAGGAGACGTTTCTTTCTTGTGAGTGTTGCTGGCCGAGGACGGAGAGTGTTCGTGACTGGTGCCAGTTACAGCCAGTTACAACCAGACCGACAGCCCTGCCCCGTCAAGGCCTTGGCATTTTTATGAAATGTGGGTTTATTGCTCAGCTGTTGGGAGAACCTGCTGCTCTACGTGGTCCGCGTGTCTGTGCGCACGTGGATTTGGGCTCCAGAATTCACTCTGATTTTGTGGCGTGAGCAGCTTACACCTCCCGGTGTCACTTCCCTTTGATGAGGAACGTTGGCAGGAGAGGCTGCTCAGAAACTAACGTGAGTTAGGTTGTGTGTGCCTGGGTGACAGTCCCCGGGTCACTTGGTCCCTTCCTTTTTCAAATTGTGATGGTCTCAGTCACACAGACTTCTTGGAGAGGAAAAGACGGAGGGGAGCGTGGGTGCACTTCAGCCTCCTCCCGGCTCAGGTCCTGTGCGCTGTGACTCTGACCGAGCCCCGGAGCACTTGCTCTCCGCCTTTTTGTCGCCGCCTGCGGTCCTGGCCGACTGGCCTACAGCTGCCCTTGTGCGTGCTTAGCCTGCCTTGGAGCAGCGCGCCCGCTGGGGAACGGCACCTCGGGGACTAGTCACAGCTTGCAGAGTTCATGGAGAATGAGATAACTCCCCGTTTATTTTAGGGTTGGGAGTTTCAACTTTTGAACTTGCAGATTTCAATTAATTTTCAGTGGTGGATTCTTGTGTATCGATAAACAGCCACTGTCGTCAGCACGGTGCCCCGTGGTGGCTCAGGTTTTGAACTCCTGGTTTTTTTGGTTTTGCTTTTAAAAAATTTAGGCCGGGCGTGGTGGCTCACGCCTGTAATTCTAGCTCTGTGGGAGGCCGAGGCAGGTGGATTGTTTGAGCTCAGGAGTTCGAAACCAGCCTGAGCAAGAGCGAGACCCCGTCTCTACTAAAAATAGAAAGAAATTAATTGGACAACTAAAAATATATAGAAAAAATTAGCCGGGCATGGTGGTGCATGCCTGTAGTCCTAGCTACTCGGGAGGCTGAGGCAGGAGGATTGCTTGAGCCCCGGAGTTTGAGGCTGCTGTGAGCTAGGATGACGCCACGGCACTCTAGCCGGGGCAACAGAGCGAGACTCTGTTTCAAAAAAAAAAAAAAAAATTTATCAGATTGGGCTCTTTTTTGGTGTATCTAGAGTAGTAATTTAAATATGTATGTAAAATATAAATGTATCCCTTATATATGTATATTTTCCTAAAAAGCCGAAAAAGGCTTTGGGGCATCCCGCTGGATTGCCAGCTGGTGCTTCCTATGCACTTTCTGACAACCTCTGGCGAAATCTCAGCGAGCCGGGTGAGGAATGTTTTTGCTCAGAACCTGAATCTGTGTTTTCCAAGAATGAAGTCACTGGAGGGCAGGGGGCGGGAGTTTCCACCGTTCATCCACTCACTCAGCAAGTGCCCGAGCGTTTTCTGCCCGGTGCTTGGGAGATGGGGGTGAGTTAAAGCACGCGGCCATTCCCCCCAAGCTCAGGGTCCAGCGGTGGAGGAGACCCCTGGAAAAACTCACGGGAAATACTGTGGTGTCCTGTCTCTCTTTGGAAGGCGTGGGGTGGTTTCCTTCAAGCCGGTCACTGCGCGTCAAAGCCCTCAACCCCCGCTCCCGGACGCTCACATGCTGCTTTCTCTTCCAGCTTTGCCATCGTCATCTGGGGCGTGCTCACACAGAAAAAACCGTTTGCAGGTGAGTGGACGTCCCCACGGTGTAGAGGTTTGTCTTTCCTGGGATACGTTGTGCATTGTCTGTCCTTAAGTCGCTCCTGGGATCCGCGCTCCGTGGGTGCCATGCTGCTCCGGCTGAGCCGGGCAGGGCTGTCCTGAGGGCGGGGGTGCCGCTCTATCCTGCCCGGCAGGTCCGGGTGACCGCGGCCACCTCATCGTAGGTTTTCCCGTACACTGACAGAGCACTCTGTGGTGTCATTTGCATACAGGAAAAGGCACAGATCTTAAGGGGTGCGGTCAGTGGAATGTTTTAGGTGCCAGCTGATTTTTTTCTGGTAAAATACACATATCATAAAATTTACCATTTTAGCCATCTAAAGTATATAATCCAGTGACATTAAGTATATTCACAGTGTTGTACAAGCATCGCCCCTGTCTAGTTCCAGAACATTCTCATAACCCTAAAAAGAAGCCCCTAGCCCATTACGTGGTCACCCTCCATTCCTCCCTCTTCCCAGCCCCTGGCAGCCCTTTCAGCTGCTTTTGTCTATGGATTTACCTGTTCGGATATTTCTAGTTAATTATTTTTTATTTTTAAAAAATTATGGTGAAGTACGCATAACCTAAATTTACCACGTTAGCCAATTTTGAGCATCCAGCTGAGTGGTGCTAAGTCGTCCACGTGGCCGAGCAGCCAGTCTCCAAAACCGTCCCGCGCGTCTGGACACGGGCGCCTGGTCCGCGCTGCCCAGCTCGAGCGCTGCAGGTTTCGTTCCCTGCCAGGCAGCCGCCTTTCTGGTCTCTGCCCTCAAAGTTTTCGTACCTCGACTTGTTTATTGTAAAAACAGAGTACGTTTTGGCTTCATTGGAGAAAGATTCCTTTTTCTTCTGTAGACATTTCTGGGCTACTCAGGATATTTTGCGGTGTGACCAAAAACGTCTAAAAGTAAAGATGAGTCAAAATGTGGCCCGTAGGTCTGGGAGCCTCTGGCTGGCTGAGGCAGGAGCGGGAGCCATTGTAGGAAAAAGCTCCTGGGTGAGGGTCTTCTGAGCGTGGCAAGACTTAGAGCATCCTGGCAGTAAAATCCCAGGAGAAAGGATGGCGTGTACTTTGACACGCCTCTTCCAGCGGGCTTGAGTCTGTGTTGTCCAGCCGCCCACCCTTTTCTCCCTGAGGCCCGCGGTCTGACTGCATTTCAATGTGGCCATGTGCCACGTGGCGTGAGATTGTCTGATAGATGTGACACCTGCAGCCAGGTGCGGGCTGAATGTCGAGGTTCGAGGCCGCCGCGTTCTATTGCTTGGCAGATAGTGGGGTTCAAGGTGCAGGAGTGAATGCAGGGCACCCGTGTCTGAAAATATTCCAGGTGTTTAGTTTACTTCCGTTTTATTTAGAGCACCTGTTGGTTTTGGAAGTCTGCATTATCATGGAAATAACGTGTAGATACTTCAGATATTTATTGCGTGAGATTTAACGGGAAAGTGTGGAATCCCGGCAGCTGTGGGTGACGCGGGCCGATTTCCGTGCCCGCTGATGTGCGCCTGCCTCTCCGAAGACCTGCCGTCACGTGGGCGTGTGTGGGGTGGCGTGGAGCTGTGGGATCAGGAAACTCGGAGTCCAGCTCCATGGGGCCGCGTGGTTTTAGGCGGAGCAGAAAAAAGACCTTGGCCCGCTGAGGGTCACCTTGGGCCACTCGCAGTTAGGGAAGGAGTTGTGGCCAAAGTGGTAATAGTAATGTGATGATAGAGCCCTGCATGCTTTGGAAGGACGTGGGAAAGGGGGCAGGTGGGGCCCCCATTCCACACCCCAGCCCCGGCCCGTCTGCAGGGAGAGGCCAGCCGGGCCCTCAGCTTCGGAGCAGGGATTGCAATTGAGGAAGATTCTTCACCGCTGTGGGGAGAGCTGGGCCCACGTGGGCCTTGGCCCACATTCTGTGGCTTGGCCGCCTGTAGGGTGGGCTCCCGTGTCTCATCAGATATTCTCCTTTGAGTTGGACACCCCGGAGGATCTGCTCCATGACCTAACACTGACTCCGTTTTCTAGATCATAACCCGGGGGAAGAGATAGTGTTTAAAACCGGGAAAATAGAGAAAGTGTGCCCTGTAAGGAGAAGGGTTTCGAGAAGCTCCGAGCTTTAAAAGGGGAGGCGGAGCCGTCTCCCGGGGACGTGTCCCATCGTGTCCCTGGGTGCGATCCCACACTTGGCACTTCCTCCCAGAGATGAGACGTCTGCCCCCAGCCCCGCAGAGCCCCCTGACTCGAGAGCCTTCCCTTGCAGATGAGAAGAACATCCTGCACATCATGGTGAAGGTGGTGAAGGGCCACCGCCCGGAGCCGCCGCCCGTCTGCAGAGCCAGGCCCCGTGCCTGCAGCAGCCTGATCCGCCTCATGCAGAGGTGCTGGCGGGAGGAGCCGCGGGAGCGGCCCCCCTTCCAAGGTGAGCACCCCGAGAGGATCCTAGTCTCCCCAGAACATTGTGCTGGTATCACAGGGGACAGCTGATGGCTAGGAGGGGTTGTGGACCAGGCTTGGATCGGAAACGATGTGCAGAGACAGTTGGACTCAGACGGGCCCGGTGCAGACCTGTTGGCCTGGCTCTCACCCGTGGCCTCCAGCACTCGAAGCTGGATGGGGCTGCTGGAGCCCCGTGGGCAGCTCTAGCCGTCCACCCCCTGCTCCCACCCAGGGCTAGATTTGCTGCCAGGAGGCCCTGCCTCAAGTTCCGATACAGCCGTGCATCTTCCAGGAGACTTGGCCAAAGAAGGTCTTGACCTCATGGAGCAGGTGTCTTTTGGATCGGAAAGTAACCCTGACGAGATCAAAATTAATCTGTTTAAAACACAGCGGCAAATGGCAGGTGCTGGCAGCCCTGTGATGGTGCATCTGGCGGGCAGGGTTCCCCAGGAAAGGCCTCTGCTCTGAGTCTGTGAGGCCATACGTGGTTGCCAGTGGGGGCCCAGGTTTGGCCGGCCACTCGCCCACGTGGGGTCCCCGGGGCTTGTCTGCTGAGCTTGCCTGGGGCAAGCCTGGGACACCCTGCATGAGAAATGTCATCGCTGACAGCGCACGGCTCGTCCTCCTCTGCATAGGGGGTTTGGGCAACATCCCGTCTGTCCCCATTTCAGTAGAATGTATGCTGATGTCGTTATCCAAGTGACATCCCCCTTTTTGTTTTCTCCCCAAAAGAAATTACTTCTGAAACCGAGGACCTGTGTGAAAAACCCGATGATGAAGTGAAAGAAACAGCTCAAGACGTGGATGTGAAGAGTCCGCCGGAGCCCAAGGGCGAGGTAAGGGGCACGTTCCCGTGGGTGTCCTTGTCTCCCTGGCTTCATGGTGGTGTTTTCCAAACCACCCCTCCTCCCGTGACGTCCCCTGCCAGCCTGGAGCTGTGCCCAGCGCCACTAGAGGTGCAGATGCCACGGGTGGCTCCCGATTCATCTGCGTGATGCTGCCCCGTCCCCACCTCCCGTCTGTGATGACGCGAGAACAGCGTGGGCGCAGGCTTGGCGTTAAGTAGCCGCTCATTGGTTGTGCTCTGAACCCTGGGATCAGAAGGCCCAGCCCCTTCTGGGCCCAGGGCGGGGACAGCGGGTGACTGGTCACTTTTTAACTGCTCATGGCCTGTGCTGTGCGTGCACATAGGTGCACATAGGTAACTTAAGACGTGGTAAGAAGCTCCAAGTCCAGGGCCAGCAAAGTACCGTGTGAGCAGTGGGGCTGGAGCAGACCTGCGAAATGACGCCTGATAAACCGCTTTACAACGTCTTATCTGGGGCTGGGCAGTCCGTCCCAGGCTGTCGGTGTGAGGTTGGCGGATAGGTGCACACTTAGGGTGCACCCACTGTCTGAACACGGGCGGGTGTGTGCGTGGGAGTTGGGGGCAGAGGTGCCCGGGGGAGGTGGGAGTAACGAGGCAGCCTGGCCCCCAGTAAGGGGAGGATGGCAGGCAACAAGTGGAGGGGCTCCGTGCTCCAAGCTCCGGCTTCTGGCTGTTCCCACGGACAGCGGGGATTTGGGGCAAACGGCCACGAGTCAGGGAAGAAGGGTGGGTAACCCTCAGAGTCTAGTCACTCCCCAGAAATCTGCTTCTCCTGCAGTCCACTCAGCGAGACCCTTTCAAAGGGCCCAATTGTGTGTATTTGGGTTGGGTCGCCATGCTGTCCCTGCGGCTGGCACCCGCCCCCACCTCGTCCACACAGCCCGCGGGCCAGACCCACACGGCTCCAGGGAGAGGTCGCACTTGTGGGCCACGGGGGAGGGCCCTGGCCCAGTTCCGTCTCCTCCCTTTGTGTCTGGCTAAAGCGGGCCTGTTGTGGGTGGACGGCGTCCAGCCACTCCCGGTCACGCTCCCGGGGCTGCGCACGGTCCGCCTCGTGGCTGGTTGACGCTGCGTGAGTGCTGCCAGCGGTGCTGGGTTTTCCGTCTCATGAAGTTGGTCTTTTCTTCAAACGTCTGCACGCTGGGCAGGCCCAGCGAGACGGCTCTGCGCCCCGGGGCTTCGGGCTCCCCGTGCTGTGTAGGTGGTGCCCGGCGGTTCCGTTTTCTGCGCCGCTCACCTCTGCCTGTCCTTCCTCTCGCCCCTCCCCCACCCCATAACCCTCCTTGTCCTTCCGTGTTCGTGTCCCAGACGGGCCAAGGGTGTGTGGCGGGGTCTTTACCCACCGCCCCCTTCTCCCTCTCCGCAGGCCGTGCCGGTGTCCACGCGTCTCAAGCGGGCCTCTGCCCCCACCTTCGACAACGACTACAGCCTTTCCGAGCTGCTGTCGCAGCTGGACTCCGGGATCTCTCAGACCATCGAGGGCCCGGAAGAGCTCAGCCGCAGCTCCTCCGAATCCAAGCTGCCCTCGTCCAGCAGCGGCAAAAGGCTCTCGGGCGTGTCTTCAGTTGACTCTGCCTTCTCTTCCAGAGGGTCACTGTCTCTGTCCTTCGAGCGAGAGCCTTCGATGGGTGGTGAGTGAAGAACACGCCTGGTGTCCTGGGAGACGAGGGCTCAGCGCGGGGCTCCGGGAGTGTGCGCTGGAGCCAGCCACCCGCTACCTGACCGGACACTGATTGTCCTCTCTCCCTTAACTAATCAATCCTGGGTGTCAGCGGCGTAATTAGGTCACTGCGCGCAAATCCAGAGATGCTCGTGCGGGTGGAGCGGCTCTGTCGGGGTCACTGGGTGTGGAAGGAGAGGAGGCCGTGCCTCCTGTCTGTGCGGGGGTTGGGGGGGGTCTCACCTGCGCCAACACCAGGACAGATGTTGACCTCAGGCCCGCAGGGTGGAAAAACCCAGTGAGGCCCAAAGCCTGGAGAGCTTTTTCTCCTGCACACGCCAGCCCTGCACCCCTCTTCTCAGTCGGTGCCGGGTAGACACCCATACTTCCTCATTGGGGTGCCCTTGGAGGTTACAACACCCTGGCCACCTCCATAAACCACCTGCTAGGGTGGGGCCCTTCTCAGCTAGCTAATCTTATCTTTTTGTGCCTGTTTTCCTATCGCTGTTCCAGGGTGCTACAGCTCTCTCTGCCAGCTTTGGGGATATGGTGTGGTCCTGTCCTGTCCCTGAAGGGGCTGCAGCTCCCCTGGGAAAATAGGGGTGTTTACACTCAGCTGCAGCACAAGGAGGCTGAGTGCCAGGGCTGAGAGCTCCAGAGCGGGGGAGGGTTTGTTTTTCCTAGTGGATTAGGGACGCCCTTCTGAAGGGGAGGACTTCTCCTGGATCATACAGGCCTCCTGGGATTTTTAGTAGGATAGTGGGGGTGAAGGAGAGCATCTGGGGTAAGGCTATACCACACAGACAGGTAGGGAAGACCTGGTTTGACTGGAGGTACACAGTGGGCAGCGGGGTGGAAGAGGAAAGTTAGGGCTGAGTCAGAGGCTAATCAGAAAGAAACATCACTGTCTCCCATGGAGAAGTGCGTTCTAGAACATACTCTCAAATGACATCTTCGCGCTGGAGAGGATTGCTCCCTGGCGAGACCCAGAGTGCCGGTGTCGACGCACCGAGTCCGACAGCATCTCCCGCCTCGTCCAAGCCCCGAGGCTGCTGCACGTGAGGGAGGAGGGAGCCTGTTTCATGGAGTCAAACTCCAGGCGCTGCGGTGGGATTTTTGTGTAAAATAGAACGTTTCATCCTGCGTGCCGGGCTCGCGGTCCCCCTGAAATGGGAGGCTCAGTCTTTTCAGGATTGTCGTGGAAAACTCTCCTGATGTCCCCAGCACAGGAAGTGCCGTTGTGAGGGGGCCAGGAGCTGGATGCTCTTTTAGCTCCGGGCACCAGCTCTGCAGGCTCCCTGCGCGGCATCCGTGGGGCCGGCAGGGCTTTCAGGTGAGGGGCTCCTGCCTGGTCTTTGTGACCTGTGCCTTTTCTTCTCTTTTCTTCTTTTTTTTTTTTAAGAGACAGGGCCTTGCTCTGTCACCCAGGCTAGAGTGCAGTGGCACAATCATAGCTCCTTGCTGCCTCGAACTCCTGGGCTGGAGCAACCGACCCTCCCACTTGGGCATCCCAAAGTCAGCTTTTTCCTTCTCCCTTTAATGAAGGAATGTTCGCAGTCACTGCCATCTCTAAGCACCAAAGGAGTCTAACTTACGTGTCTCATCACAGCCCTGCAGGACAGCTAGCCTGGTGTTCATTCTGCACATTGGCTAACGAGCACCTGAGAGGCGTTAACCGACCTGTCCCAGGCTCCCCACCAGATCTGACCTTCAGTGAGGTCGTGTATGGGCAACGCACAAGGTCACCGGTGCACGGCTGCGCTCTGACCCTTGCCTGTCCTCTCCCTGCAGATCTGGGCACCACAGACATCCAGAAGAAGAAGCTCGTGGATGCCATCGTGTCTGGGGACACCAGCAAGCTGATGAAGATCCTGCAGCCGCAGGACGTGGACCTGGTGCTGGACGGCAGCGCCAGCCTGCTGCACCTGGCCGTGGAGGCCGGGCAGGAGGACTGCGTCAAGTGGCTGCTGCTGAACAACGCCAACCCCAACCTCACCAACAGGAAGGGCTCCACCCCGCTGCACGTGGCCGTGGAGAGGAGGGTGCGGGGCGTCGTGGAGCTCCTGCTGGCCCGAAAGATCAGCGTCAACGCCAAGGACGAGGACCAGTGGACGGCCCTCCACTTTGCAGCGCAGAACGGGGACGAGAGCAGCACGCGGCTCCTGCTGGAGAAGAATGCCGCCATCGACGAGGTGGACTTCGAGGGCCGGACGCCCATGCACGTGGCCTGCCAGCACGGGCAGGAGAACATCGTGCGCATCCTGCTGCGCCGCGGCGTGGACGTGAGCCTGCAGGGGAAGGATGCCTGGGTGCCGCTGCACTACGCTGCCTGGCAGGGCCACCTGCCCATCGTCAAGCTGCTGGCCAAGCAGCCAGGGGTGAGCGTGGATGCCCAGACGCTGGACGGGAGGACGCCCCTGCACCTGGCCGCCCAGCGTGGGCACTATCGCGTGGCCCGCATCCTCATCGACCTGTGCTCCGACGTCAACGTCTGCAGCCTGCTGGCCCAGACGCCCCTGCACGTCGCAGCGGAGACGGGGCACACGAGCACCGCCAGGCTGCTGCTGCATCGGGGCGCCAGCAAGGAGGCCGTGACCGCAGACGGCTGCACCGCCCTGCACCTGGCTGCCCGCAATGGACACCTGGCCACCGTCAAGCTGCTCATCGAGGAGAAGGCCAACGTGCTGGCCCGGGGGCCCCTGGACCAGACGGCCCTGCACCTGGCCGCCGCCCTCGGACACTCGGAGGTGGTGGAGGCGCTGGTCAGCGCCGATGTCATCGACCTGCCTGACGCGCAGGGGCTCAGCGCGCTGCACCTGGCCGCCCAGGGCAGGCACGCTCAGACGGTGGAGACGCTGCTCAAGCACGGGGCGCACATCAACCTGCAGAGCCTCAAGTTCCAGGGCGGCCAGGGCTCCACCGCCATACTCCTGCGACAGAGCAAGACCTAGCCTGCTGCCCGCGGGGACCAGGGGTCCTCCTGGGGCTCCGGTCCTGTCGTGTGTTCCTCTTGCGGACGGAACGATGCTGCACAGAGCATCTCCCCTCGCCCCGTCAAGGCTTGCTGAGACATTGACCGAGCGGAGGTGACAGGTGCCGTGGGGAAGCGGGGCCCTGCTGACGGGTGTGTTGCCACCGCGTGAAGTTGGCTGAAATGTGCTTGGCTGTTCACCCACCCGCTGACAGAAGTGCCTGGTGTCGGAAGGGACAATGCGTCGGAATCATTTCGTTGTGCTCCTAACGGGCTGCTGACACTGCTCTCGAAGGGGCAAAGCCCCAGGCAAGGACGAGTCCACTCTGTCCTCAGGGGACCCGCCTGACTGCTCGGAGCACCTTGGTCTGGAGCGAAGAGGTGCAGGAAGAACCGTTTCTCACCTTCACACACGGTTGCGAGCAGAGAAGCTTCGTGTCTCAGAAAGTTTCAGTGGAGTTCTTATGTTATAAAATATCTTTAATAGATGAATATCATATCAGCTGTTTCTTGAAACCTGTTAAAGACATTCCTAACATTGGATAGTCTAGTCTCTTAGCAGTGACTAAAGTCATAGGGTTGGCTTTAAAAACAATGTTTTATGCAATGAGAAATGAACAACAGCATTGTTGGGGTATGTGTGTGGCCAGCTCTTTTATATCTTGATTTGTTTGTCCTTGTTTTAGTCCCTGGGGGCAAACACACACACATCCCAACAATGCTAGTTGTGATCGTGCATTTCTTGTTGTATAAAACGTTTTTGGAATTCTAGAGCCACTTATAAAAGTCATTAACAAATTCTCACTTTATAATTTCAGTTTTGGACTGAAGTTATAAAACAGTATCACCTGGTTAGTGGAGTCACTCATCTGGTCTCTTTCCAGCTCTCGTTTTTGGTAAAGTGGTTGTTCGTACTGAGGGGGGATAGTGTTTGGGGTCTCAGAGGGGATTTCTGACCTGCTTTGCAAACGGCTCCCCTGCGCGCCTGTGGTTGGGGTGTCACCCCAGAGCGGCTCTCGGATGGGAAGGTTTGACCATCTAGCCTTGTACCGTCATTGTAACCCGTGTCCCATGTGGCGCCTTCTGAATACTGTTATTAGGATTGTGCAAACATGTACCATGGTCTCGTGTGTGATACAGAGATTGATGTTAATGTACCGTGTATGTTAATGTGAATCTGTGGGCTGGATACTTCTTTTCCATGACAAGAAATATCCACACTGTTAGCACTGGCTATGTTTTAATATGCCTCATTGTGCTTTTACTACATGTGCTACTCTTACGTGAAATACCTAGAAGGGCAAAAAATAAAATTCTGTTTGATGTCAGCAAAGCGAAGTACTTGCCTGCTTTTTTGAAGTCAGTGAGACACTTTTTCTTATAAATGAGCTCCAGTGCTCTGATTTCTGAAAACTATGGGTTTGAAGCAGCGATGGGTGGCTTGGGGAATGCCTTTCTGGAGGGGCACCCGGGCGCCACGTTACCCCATGGCGCGGGCACAGGGCGAGCAAAGGGTACGCTTGGGTGTCCTCAGCCCGGCCCCTCCGTGCGTCTGACCCAGTGGGGAGATTAGCTTGTCTTGATGGGCAGAGCTCCCAGCACCAAAGCTTTTATTTCTTTTTAAATGTTTATGATTCTTATGTTCTGTTAACTTTGCATTTTGAAGTAATTCCAAATTACAGGAAAGTTCCAAGAGTAGCACATGGAGCTCAGGTGGCCTTTCCACCCGGATTCCCCACTCGCTTACGTTTGGTCTCATGGGCCCGGTCATTCTTCCTCCCTCGTGCATCTGCCCCCATCCGACCACCCCCATCATCCGAGAGCAGGCTGCAGACAACGTGCCCACGCGTCAGTGTGTATTTCCCAAAGCAAGAGCTTTCTCCTATGTGGCGCACAGCCACAAAATCAGGAAATGAAGTTTGATATGGTACCACCTAAGCCACAAGTGCTTTTCAAATTTGTCTCAAAAATGTCTTTTATAGAAGGAAAAAGAAACCCCACAAAAACAACAGCAAGAAGCAACGCTTTCTCGTATTTAGTCACGTCTTCAGTTTGCAGTCCTCCGTTCCTCAGTCCAGTCTTTCATGACCTTGACATTTTGGGGAAGTACATACAGCCAGTTTGTAGAATGTCCTCAGTTTAGGTTTGTCTAATTTTCTTAATGATTTGGTTTAGATTATGCGTTTTTGGCAGAAATACCACAGACAAGGTACTGTGTGCGAAGTAGAGCTTTTCCCTCTGCCGCTTTTAATTTTTATATCAACACACAGTCACGGATCCCTGTAGAATCAGTGGGTTGTGCTCCCTTTCCTGCGTGGGTGCTCGGATGACCCCTCAGTTGCCGGTCTGCGCCTCCGCACGGGCTCTGGTGTTCCTCTGACGCCTCCCGTCTTCCTCTGGTGCTGCTCTGCCCCCTGACACAGGCTCATCGTGTACGGCCCCACCCCAGCCTCAGAAGCAGCCACTTCTCCAGGGAAACTGGTCTTTTAGTGGAGAATGGTATTTAGAAACCAAGGTCTGGGCGCTGGGTGTGCTTGTGTAACTGGGGTGTCACTGCTTCCAGGCCCTCTGGGCGGACAGGTCTAGGATGTGCGTGTGTGACTTACGTGTATGTACACATACATGTTTCTGTATCTCACGGAAACGATGCCTTCAGTCACAACGCAGCACCCTAGGGGCTATGCTCATCCACATTTGCGTATCCCCTGACAGTAAGAAATGCCGCCATCATCCTCGACGCACGTGCGTGTTCGTCAGGCCTGGTGTGGGGATCTGTCTCCTTGGGACTTTTCAGCCTCCCCACGCCTCGCATCTGAGTTCCCTGGCCCTGCAGAATGACAATTCTTTTCAAGTTTTTTCTACCAGAAATCCAGGCCTATGAATTTTTTCTTACTAAGACTGCGCCATTTGGCTTAACTTTTCTTTTTCCATTTAGGCGCCTACATTATTTCCCTTCCTGTCTTGAAATAGTGATAATTTAACAACATTCACATTTTTCCTTCATTTTGTTTAAAAAAATTTTATAGATGTATGCATTTGGGGGATATATTGATATTTTGATGTATACAACGTGTACTGATCAAATCAGGGTGATTGGGACACCCGTCCCCTCAGACGTTTACCTCTGTGCTGGCAGCATTACAGTTTTCCATTCTAGCTGTTTTGCAACATGCAATAAACTACTAACTATTCCTTCTTCGTTCATCAGCAAGTTCGGGCGTTTCTTTCCTTTCCCTCTGGTCACTATTCCCTGCTTTTTCATTCGGGGGCATCTTCTGGTTTGAGGATTAAGTGAACTTTTCTCTTAGACCTTCCACTTTAGGAGGAAAATTGCTCCTTTGTTCCTGAGGGGAAACGAAAGTGGCCTTAAGCTTCACGTGCTCTGCGGTTGCTCTGGGGCCGGGGATCCTTCAGGCCACCCCAGCTCGTCCCTTCAGGGCCCCAGCGAGGCAGTGCCGGCCTGCCGTCAGCAGCTCTGAGCTGTGGGGTGGTGGCAGCAGAGGAAAGTGCTTCTCCCCGACTGTAGCCAGCTGAGACGCAAGCCGCGTGACGCGCTGACATCGGGCAGCCGGCCCCCAGACGGTCCAGCTCGCTGCCGCCGTCCCAGCAGCCCTTGGTACTGACCAGGGGTCCGGGTTGGGCACAGCCCAGCCAAAGAGCAGTGGCAGAGGACTTAGTCCGCCTTCTGCTCTGTCCCGACGTCCTCCACACCCCATGACGCCGTGCTCGGGAAACCTAAGTCCTTGTGACACTTTCTTCTTGTGCCTGTCCCTCCTCAGCTACAGCAGCAGGGGAGACTTTGCCCGTGGAGACAGGTGCGTCACGGCTTCGCTGTCAGGACACCACCTACGCCCACTCCTGAAGCCACACTCTTGGAGAGCAGAGAGGTGGGACCCTTGACCTGTGATCGGTGTGTCCCTTCCGGTTCATGGTTTGAGGATTCCGAGTCCTACAAATCTTAGGAAATTTCGGGCCCTGGTGCAGGGTCCTTCTGAAGTCCCTGTTGGGCAGAGGGGCAGCAGTCAGTCAGCCTCCTGGTGCCGTTGCCAGGATGGCCGGCCATGCGTGTACCTGTGCACCAAGGACTTCCTCAGCAAGCAGCCGGTTTGCCCTGGACCCTCCGCTCCCAGACTGCTGCACCAGGGTTGCTGTCTTTTCCCGGGTCATCGAACCCGATCCCGGTTCTGGGGGGGCCTTTGCTGGGAGCATTCCCATGCCAAGGTGCGCTACTGATGGAGTGGGGGTGGTGAGTCGTGCTGGCTCTGCAGAGGAGGGGGGCAGACACTGGCAGCAGGTGACGTTGGGAGGAGAGAGAATCCTGCCTCAAGTTTACCTTTGGGCACCCGGATCCCGACATCTCAGACTATTAACCCCGGGCAGGCGATCTCTCTCCCCTCTTTCCTTCCTCCCGTCCTCCCCGCCCCTTCCTTCACGATTAATTGTGCCGCGAGGTCGGGAGTTCAGAACTCTGCTCCACCGGGAGCACCTGTTCTCGGGTGGCTCGGGCCCTCTGCTGCACCTGCTCGCTCACGAGGGTGTGCGGGGGCAGCAGCACCGATGTCCACGGTGGGCCTCACGCCGCTCCCCCGCAGGGAGTGGTGCTGTCCCTGCTTTAGGCCCTGCTGGTGTAGAATGACGTGCGGCCTCGTGAAACCCACGGTGGGCAATGGCTGGACCCAGGCATCCACGCAGTGTCTCCTTCCTCTGCTGGCTTTACCAGCCGGCAGGGCCCTTGCAAAAAATGGCCCCGTCGTCTCCGAGCTTGAATGACCTCTGCTCGAGGATCCGGGTAGAGAGTTTCTTTCTCCCAGGAGTCCCCTCCCAGCCCCAGAGGAAGCGTCATCCCTGGGTTCTTGGAGGCTCTCCTTTCTGTCTTTCACATTTCCACAGCGTTGGGGTTGGCGGGCTTTTGCGGTTGAATTTGGCGGCCTTTTTTTCTTTTTCGGGGTTGGTTGGGCCGTTGTTTTTTTTTTATTTGTTGGCTTTTGGGGGTTATGCAGCATGGTGGCCCCGCTGCCTGGCTGCGCCTGTTGCTGACACCAGCCGTGGCAGCTGGGGGAGAGGATGTCGTGACTGCCCAGGCTGGGTCAGGAGTCTGGATGCCACCTCAAAGGAAAATCAGGGATGGTCTTACTGGAAAAGGTGGCCCAGAGAATGGCCGTCACGGCCACAGATGTCCCCACCTGGGGGTCCCACACAGGGACCCTCCCTGGAGGGCTCATGGAGTAGCTGTAGAACGACCTGGAGTTGTGCGTAGAACATGTCTGTGCATTCTCACAGGAAAGTGGGTCAGAGCACTCCCTGCTCCAGAGCGTCTTCTCTTGGAATCCTGGGAGATTCTGGAAGGTTCTGGAAGGGCTGCCTGTGTGCCCAGCACTGGAGACTGTTCACAGTGGCTTCGAAGCCATAGTGGGTGGATCAGAGTGGGAATCTGGGGGCTGGACTGTCAGAGGTGGGGGAGGAGGCCCTAGTCCCAGTCCCCAGCGAAGTTCCAAACCGCGAGCGTGTGGAGCGAGGACGAGAGTCGTCTCCGGCGCTGAGCCCCAGATGGAAGGGGAGGCGCGGAGGCCAAGGCGGGGGTCACCGCAGAGGAGAGTGAGGGGACCCAGGAGAGTCAGGGGACCTAAGAGAGTGCCAACTTAATTAAGAGGGACAAAGCCCCGACTGAGGCCGACATTGGGATGAAAAACCCCCTTGCTCAGGGGGACCGCCTTCGCTGGCTTCAGGGGTGCAGGAACATTCTGGAGCCTTCCAGGTAGCCGCAGCGGCCACAATGGAGGTGTTAAACAGAGAGCAAGCTGTTTCCCTGGGTAATGAAAAGTGCTGTACTCTACATTAAAACGTTTGCACTAAAAGAAGGAAACTTAAATGTTTAAAAAATGCGTTTGGATGCTGGATTAAGGAGAAAATGCAAGAGAAGGTAAGAAAGCCGGCCGCAGGCAGGACAGCGTGGACTCTCTGCTGAT